TGGGTGAGACAGTTGATTGGCTTGATCTGTTTGGGAGGCATCCAGGCAGTGGGACCAGATCCTGTGCTCATTGCATGAGTTGGCTGTTTGAAACCTGGGGCCTATGCAGGATTGTCTGGCTCGGCCTGGGAGGAGGGGACTAGACCTACCTGGACTGAGTCTACCAGGTTGACCTCAGTCTGTGGGGAAGGCTTTGCCCTGGAGGAGATGGGAATTGGGGGGGGGGGGGTTAGGGGGAAGGTAAGGGGGAAGGGAGGGGGGAGAACAAGGGAATCCGTGGCTGATATGTAGAACTGAATTGTATTGCAAAATAAATTAAAATAAATAAAAAAAAAAAGAAACAGGAGTCAGGGATAGACAAACAGAAGCACCGACAAGGAAGCTTGGCCAACAGGCTGCTAGCTCAGTGTATTTCTCTGATCTGTGACTACTTTGGTATGTACCCATGGCATGGAATCCTTCCTTTCCCCATGTTCTGGGTCTTCCCTGAAGAAATCTTCCACTGACGTTCCATTTTCTTTTGCCTTCTCTCTTGTGTGTGTGTGTGTGTGTGTGTGTGTGTGTGTGTGTGTGTGTGTGTGTGTGTGTGCGCGCGCGCGCGTGCGTGCACACATGTATACCAGAGATCAGTCTCAGATGTCTCTCCTTAGACGCTATCCACTCTGTTGAATGTTACCCCTGAACTTATGATAAAACATAAGTCAGAGTTCATGAGTAGTGCAGAGAAAGTGTGCAGGCAGAAGCAAACCACGTGCACACAGATGGAGGTGACCCAGAGCACAGGCTTCAGAAGGGTGGTGGACATGACTGAGGAAGAGAGAAAGGACTTCAGGGATGGAAGACTGGGCTGAGTGTGAAAAGGGGGTTTATTCACAGGCAGACCAAGGGTAGTTGGCTTGAAAAGATCACTTCTATACTGTCTGATGATTGGAGTTCAAACTCAAGATTGCTGTTGTTCCAATGTACTTCCAGGCTTCACTTCTTCCCATTCCACTGACTTACATCTAGAAAAATCCTCGCCAAGCTGTACAACATTGTACTTCCTCAGATATACACAGTTTACTTTATATACACCATCCTCCTTTTCCTCTCATAAAGTGTTCACACTCTGGGGCTCTTCTTGGAAACTTTCACCATATCTCTCAGAATTCACTCTCTCCTTATCCTTCTTAGCATAATACTGTGTGACATGTGGGTGTGTGGCATGTGGGTCAAGTATGCTGCCTTTCTGTGGAGGTAGGAGAGTTGGGAGTAGAGAAAGCTCTGGAAAGATCAGCATGTGAAGGAGACCAGTTTGTAGAGGAAGCCCGTACTTACCTGGGCTCCACTGACTAGAGGAGCTCTGAAGGGTGATAGGCACCACAGTAGTGGCTCACAGCAGGACCAGGTGGATCTTGCCCCTTTCTTTCCCCACTTTTAGCCCTCTTGAAACCAGGCCACAGGAAGGGTATGGTATACTCCTGGCTCCTCTAGATCTTCCCCTGGTGAACTCTGCCCCATATTCTCCAGACTGAGACCCACACCTTTTACAATTCGGTCATCTTAGTAGAGATTAGACCATTCTGTGAGTAGAACAGCAAGGGCAGCTCTAAGTATGGTGTGTAACACACTACACAAACCACACTGGCCTAATCCATTCTTCCCCTGGAAGAGTAAAACCACTTCTGCTACATACGCTGTTTTTGGCAGTACATTGAATGTACATTTAAGCCGTTCGGAATGTATTCACTCTGCTTTAGGAAAGTTATCACTATCAAACTCATTGTTTCAAGAAACAGCTGAGTCAAATGAAGATGTGGACCACTGTAAGGCTCAGGGACATGCTGCCCCCCTGACACTCATGCATATATCCATCTGCTCAACAGTGTTCACAGAGCCTTTGTCCTTTGGTATGTGTGTCACTTAGCTCACTGCAGAGTGCAAGCCCCAGGAGGACTGGAGTTTGTGAGGCAGTGTCTGTTACAGCCCCAGAGTGTTCCCAGTAGGCTGGCCTGGCTGGCCATCACACTCCACTGATGTGCTGATCTTCACCACCCCAGAACTGGAATCACCCTGCCCGACCTTTCTAAAAAGGTGAGTTCTGGAAATCAAGCTCAAGGACCCCTGCTTGCAAGACAAGCATTGCACACAGTGAGAAAATTTATTTTCTGCTGTTATCAAAAAAGAGGAAGAAATAGAAGTGAAGGGTAGGCAGAAAGAAAGAAAATTAGGAAGGAAGGGAAAGGAAGGGAGGTGAGAAAAGAAATCAGAAGATGGAGGAATCTAAGCTAAAACAGTGATAATGTAGAATTATGAAAATATAGTGGTAATTCTGGAGGTGTTAGGGTATGGCTTGAATAATGGAGTAAACTGACAATATGTATGTATAGAGAGGGCATTGAAAGACTATACAAGCTTGGATGACAGGGCACAGCTCAAGAACATTATGAGAGAGCATGAGACTCTCTAGGTTGACCTTAAATCATCAGACATACTCTGAATACTCTGCCTGAACTCTATTTCTAACCTGTGGTCAAAGGGAAGAATTCTTTAAAGGGATTTAAGGGAGAATCCCAGATTAAAGTTCCTGATGGATGGATCAACCAAGCTCCAGTGGCTGACCCCCACCTCATACCTGTCAGTATGTGGGCAGTGACAACTGGACTCTATGAATTATTATTTTAAAGGGGGAAGAGAGGAAGAGACAGAGAGAGAGAGAGAGAGAGGCAGAGACAGAGACAGAGAGACAGACACAGAGACAGAGACACAGAGACAGAGACAGACAGAGACAGACAGACAGACAGAGAGAAAGTTGGGTAAGGTAGTTCTAGGAGGAGTTGGGGGAGGAATAGGGGTTAAGTATTATCAAAATCCATTATGAAACTGTCAAAGAATTGATAACAATATTATAATCCTGATGGAAGTGGATCATCAAATTAGAGGCCATGGTGTTCTCTAAGGCAACCATGCTGTAGAGAAAAAAACAGCAATGGAGCCAGGGAGTGGCCACAGCATCTCCAAGTCCGTTTTGCAGCTCCAACAGCAAAAAGTGTGACTTGTGAGAAAGCCCTGGCTCTCTAAAATGTGGGAGGTCACCAAGACTGTTGAGGACAAAGCTGAAAAAGAAAGAGAAGGAAATTGAGGTGCAGGACTTGAGAAGTACTGAAAATGGTGACTGATGTAGTCACTGCCTTCTGAGCACCTCCCAACCAGGCATTGTATGGACACATTTGAGACCTGGGCGTTTACTTGGGGAAAATAGTCTTTAGTCATAAAACCATAAAATACTAGGAATGCTGCAACTCGGTGAATTATTGCAGCTCAGCAAAGTGGCCAGAATGTTGAATGGGTGTTAATTTTACCCAAGAACATTGGCAAAATTTTTAGGGAGGAAATAACACTTGGGTGAGGTTTTAAATTTGAAGAATATTGGTCTAAAAATAACATTTCCCAAAGGAAGAAATGTGGAACAGTGAGGGAACACACGCAAGCTTGCTTTAGGCAGCTCCGGGAAGAAGAAAGCCTTTCATCTCAACATGTAATAGATGTCTCACTGTGCTTCTGACAGGTCTTCTCCACACACAAAACTGATTCCTAGACATTCCTGTGTAGGCTACGACTCTCACCTCCCAGTGCGATGACACTGAGTCTGTCAACCACACTCCACGGCAGGCCCTGTGCACAGGAGGAGTTGACCAACACACACTGGATCCCATGGCATTTTAGTCTTAAGAGAGAGAGAGAGAGAGGAAGGGAGAAAGAGGTAGAAGCTGTGTGGTAGGGAGGTGAGGGGAAACCTGGGAAGTGTTATGGAGGGAATGAATATGACCAAAATATATGAAATTCTCAAAGAATAAACACAACCATTACTTTAAGGTCTGACTCTGATATGTTTGTGTGTATGTGTATGAGAGCATGTGTGTGTGTAAGAGTGTTCACACATTCTTGCACATGTGGTTGTGGAGGCCAGAGGACAACCATGAATGTTATTCCTCTATTTTCTCTTATGAAGACAAAATCTGCTCACAGCCCTGGAGTTTGTAAAGTAGGCTAGACTGGCTAGCCACCAAACCTCAGGGAAATTTTGGTCATTACCTCACTAGAACTTGGGTCATAAGTCAGTGTTTCCATACCCAGTCCTGTAAAAAAGGTGGATTTTGGAGATCAAACTCAAGTACTCATGCTTGCAAGCAAAGCATTTTACTATCTCTCTAACTCATGACTTTAATATATTTCATTAAGTGTATTTGTGTGTGTGTGTGTGTGTGTGTGTGTGTGTGTGTGTGTGCATGTGTGCACATGCATGAAGGAGCACACACACAGGCACAAATATGCCATGCTGCACATATGGAGGACAGACTACAAATTTGGGAAGCTGGTTTTCCCCTCCCACCACATTGGCTCTGGAGTTTGAACTTGAGTCATTAGACTTGGTGACAATTCCTTTAGCTACTCAGTCATCTGCTCGGTCCAACTTCAGTGCATTTACTACTATATTATTAAAAGCCGTAAGAGCCTAAAAACAAAAATACAGTAGGGAGTTACTACTACGTGTCCATGAAATGGATTCTTCGTCCATGGTGGTAGCCTTGGTTAGTTAGTCATTGCTTAATTTGCATCTCACAAACTTTCACAATCAAGTTCTGAGCTCAGACCTCTAGACTCTCATTCTACAGTTAAAAAGCCTAATGGCCCCAGAGGATTGGTGGATTATTTAAAATCACATAAGTAGTAAGTGGCAGAGCCTAGACTCCAACCCCTACCGCCTACAGACAGGTCCCGGCCCCATCATAAAGTCTACTGATACACAGCAGAGACAGAGGGGTTCCTCTCCCAACAGAACTCAGCATGCTTGAAGTCTCCAGAGTTAACAGGATTGTATTGTTGGTTATTTCAAACTGGAGTATGAATGCTCATCACCAATAAACAATAAAAAACAAGAATAAAGATGAATGAACAAAGGGATTCTCCTGACTCAGTGTTAGAAGACACTATACTATTGACAAAAACGTCAACATTACCTCCAAGTACCATGCCAGCCTGACAGCACTTTCTCAGGCGACATGCTGGGCAGTTCTTTCTGCGGATTTTATCAACAATGCAGTCATTTCTTCCAGCACATAAATAGTTATGTTGCCCTAAAAAATGAAAACGTACAAGTTACTCACAAGTGGTAGAGACTCCAAGTCAAAGGGTAGACACAGGGCATCAAGTTAATGGCCCCAGCCAGCCTCTTGCTGGCCACCATTGCATCCTGGCAATGGGGCAGACCCCCAGCCAGCCTCTTGCTGGCCACCATTGCATCTTGGAGATGGGGCAGACCCCCAGCCAGCCTCTTGCTGGCCACCATTGAACCCTGGAGATGGAACAGACCTACAGCCAGCCTCTTGCTGGCCACCATTGCACCCTGGAAATGGGGCAGACCCCCAGCCAGCCTCTTGCTGGCCACCATTGCACCCTGGAAATGGGGCAGACCTCACCTGTGGCTTCAGGGCCTCAGTGAGGTGACGGTAAGTGCTATGCACATTCAAACAACTGTTTACACCTAAATAAGGAAGCTGTGATTATCAAATTGAATACAATTTTTATGTCAAGACAGGCAAAGAGCTGGGTAGTCCAGCATTTAAACTCAAGTGGAAAGGGGCATTTCTGATAGTTGAACACACTGACATAAAGTTACAATATTAACGGGTTGACAAAGTCCATGTCACCCATCATCTGTCACTCCAGTGGGCACCCATAGAAGATTGGAATGGATACACAAATGATCTAAATGGTTTCATAATATCTGGAAGCTCAGTCCATTCTAAATTATGATCATCTTTGGAAATAAATGCTGGGCCATTAGAACCACAAAGTGGACACAGCATAACCTAAGGTGGTTACAAGTTAGTATCTATGCAATTTGTTTGGCTAAAGGAACAACACAGTCATGCAGTCCCAACAAGAGTTGCCTAAGAACAATGCATGGAGCCCAGACATGACCTCTGTGTTACAATGCTTGCCTATAACTCCCAGCCATTAAGAATGTAAGGGACCTCACCACAGGGGTGTAGCTTGAGTTTTCCTGCCTGGCCCACAGTCAGGACAAATCTCTGTCACCTGCCAGTCCCACAGCAGCTCAGACCCGACCAAGTAAACACAGAGACTTATATTGGTTACAAATTGTATGGCCGTGGCAGGCTTCTTGCTAACTGTTCTTATAGCTTAAATTAATCCATTTCCATTAATCTATACCTTGCCACATGGCTTACCGGCATCTTCACATGCTGTTTGTCGTCGTGGTGGCTGGCAGTGTCTCTCTGACTCAGCCTTCCACTTCCCAGCTTTATTCTCCTCCTTGTCCCGCCTACACTTCCTGCCTAGCCAATGGCCAATCAGTGTTTTATTTATTGACTAATTAGTAACACATTTGCCATACAGAACATCCCACAGCACTTCCCCCTCTTTTTTTCAATTCTAAAAAGTCGCATATATAGTCTTTGTGTTCGAGTCTCTTACCAGTTTTTTGCAGGAAATCACGGTCAGGCCTAACATCAACTGAAGTCTCCAGGAAGAAGATGGGGCCCCACAACAACAACAATTTCACGTGGACAATAATAATATCACTAAGCTGACAAACATCATCTACAGATCAGCTTTGAACTACAAGGTGCTCAGAGCAATTTTGAGATTACTAGCTGAAATGATCCAGTCTCAAAGACTACTTGAATAAGGACTTGAGATAAACCCTGAACTTTGGCATTATACACAGACTGGATAACGAAGGATATAGTTACCTTTCCTAGAATTTGACAATTAACCTAAAATTTTTCTTTTCAGGATAAAGATACCTTCGCCCACACCCAGCAGGAAGCAATTTTAAGAATACGATGCCCACATTCCCAAAGAGGTGGTGTGGGGTGGGTGGTTTTTTTGGTCTTTTAATGGGTTTTGGGTCTGGGATAATTTTCATTGATTAGGGGGGTTGGTTACAAGTTGTTGTCAAGGGTTAGGAAAAAGGCTAAGCAATGGAGATTAGATTTAAGGTTCTTGTTTAAAAATAAAGAGAGAAAGAAAGAAGAAAAAGACAATTACTAGTTTTAAATACTTTACATTGGATTGGATTGTTTTATATTGTATACAAATTATATATATTGAAATTGATATTGTTAGAAAATGCTATATGTATATTTCTAATTGTACCATTCATTTAACAATGTAATGCCATTTTCTGATCCTTGAATGTTATTATTACCAACTATTAGGATATAAAGAAATGAAGAGGGGTTGGGGATTTAGCTCAGTGGTAGAGCGCTTGCCTAGCAAGCACAAGGCCCTGGGTTCAGTCCTCAGCTTCGGAAAATTAAAAAATAAAAAATAAAAAATAAAAATAAATAAATAAATTAAAAAAAAAGAAATGAAGGTTAGTAGTTAGACATTACAATAGAACTTGTAGTCATATTAGATATGTTTTAAAAATTGAGCAGATATATTTTAGACAGGTCATCTTCAAACCCTTCAGAGATCTACAGAATATGGCATTTAAAATGTTTTAATAACTTAGAAAATTTTTCTTTTTTGAGACATGTTGGCTCCTGGCAGTACCAATCTACTTCAGAAAAAATATGGGCATTGAAGAAACTGCGTATGGAGTTAACTTTCATTGTGGCAAAAGTTAGCCACTGGACAACAAAGTATCCTCGAATCAACTGCTGACAAAATGGACAGACAGGACAAGAAACAAAGGACTACTGACTCTTGCCAAAACAAGTGTGGTTATGGCTTTATCAAAAGGCATCTTCTGAGGCCAGGACAATATGGCACCATCCCTGAAGTGGCCTTCGCAATTCGGAAAAGGTACAGTGCCCTTTTCTTCGAAGGCAGCTGAACAGGCAGTGGGCCAATGGCCTCTGATGTGCAATGGAACAGCAGCTGAAACAGTTATTCTTGAAGAGTAACTAAGCTCACGCCTCTCAATAGTAGACTGGCATTTGATAGAGGGATGTGGAGAAGAATGGGATGCTGAGATGAAGCCATATATACACAGCCAAGAAGAATGGACAGCTGAATTAAAAAACCATCAACAATTTCCAGAATTTAAAATCCTGAATCATGACATGACACTAGTGGAATTCAGGTGTTTCTGGTACATGGACTGCTCTCACCCAATGTGAGGTTGAACTATTGACCTTGTGTACATCCTACTTCACAAATGAGTCTGTCAAACACGCTAAGCCTATAGGCTGAAGATGATGCCCCAACACTGCGGAGAAACCTCAGATGATTGTCCAGGCAGCTGGCTGTTTCTGTCAACTCACAATTTTTTGGAAGTTGCTTGCATATACTTCCCGTTTTTATTTTTTTGTTAGCTAATATTATTTCCTTCTTGGGTCTCTGAGGGAGTTGAAGATTAGTTAGTTATAGTTGAAGATTAATTAGGATAGAAAGTGAATTAGATACAATAGAATAGATAATGGAATTATTTTCTCTGAATTTGTCAAATACAAATGAACTTATATTGTATATAGTTATTGTACTTTTGTATATAGTTTTTCTTATGTTAGTTATAAGGTTTTTCTTTTTTTCTTTTTATTAAAATAGAAAAGGGGAAATATGGTGATATTTTCTTTGTATTAAAATGTTATTTGTATGTTAATAAATAAAGTTGCCCGGAGGTCAGAGCTATTAGCAAGCCATAGGAAAGTAGGGCAGTGGTGGCGTACTCTTGTAATCCCAGCACTTGGTAGGCAGAGCTTGGTAAGTCTCTGTGTGTTCAGGGATACAGCCATTATTGGATACACATGCCTTTAATCAATACCAATCATGGAAAACCTGGAGGCCTATACAGACAGGCCGTGAGGAGGCGGTCATGTGGTTGGGTTTACAACCAACGAGAAGGCAGAACAGGAACTCTATATAAAGACTTTAACACAGGGGTAGCTCTGGTTCGGAGAGGTAGGACCACCGCAGGAGGAAGGGTAAGGTTTTAGCTCTTAGCTCTGACCTCTTGGCTTTCTTCTTTGCATTGGTTCTGTGTTTCTTATTTAATAAGAAGGTTGGTTACATCTACACAGGGGCCATTCCTTTAGGTACCTGGTGCATGTTCAGGTTAAAAAAAAAGCCAAGAATAAGTGGACTGGCTTTGTCCCAATTTTATTATGGAAATCTATATAGCCTTGAACTTTGGGAGTGACAACCCAGTAAAATGTCTGTTGCCTCCACTTTTCTACCAATAATCTTTCCCAGCTTATATTTTGGTTTTAAGATTGTACCATGCTCAGGCCTATTTGCTTGTTCCTTATTTTGGTGACTCAGGTTATACATCATTGCTTCCCCTTGGTCCAATGTAACATAGTCACTCTGCAAGTCTAAAACAAGGCAATCTATTAAATTACTGGGCTATCTACCCACACATATCCAACAGGAGTTAACAGGATGTATGTCACAATGATAAAACCCCAATACAAGATGCCACCTAGCTTCCAACTGATGTTCATAGCATCTGCCTTTGTTGAAACCTGGGGAAGAAATGTATAACACATGCTATTTCTTTCTCTTGGGGAAATCTATCATCTATTTCTGAATTGGAAAAGAAGGGAGAAAATAAAAACTATTATATTGTATTATACCTTTTCTTTGTATGTGTTATTTTGTGTGTATGTGTAGATATGAGTGTGTGTGTGTGTGTGTGTGTGTGTGTGCATGCACACATGTGTTCATGCATATGTGCATGTTCCCACATGTGTGCACAGGGTCTGCATATGTGTGTGCAGATGTGTGCATGTGGGGGCTAGAAGCCAACCTCTCTAGTGTCATTCCTCAGGAGCTGTCCCCCTCGTTTTTGAGAAATCATCTCTGGGACCTGGGGCTGCGTTGGCTGGCCGGAGAGCTCTTGGAATCCACCTATCTCTGCCTCTCCAGCACTGAGACAAGAGGCACACCCACCCATGCATGGCTGGGCCTTCTTGCTTATGGAGCAGCACTTTTCAGCTGAGCTTTCCACAGATACATCTTTTCTTTTAAATTATTTATATGCTTTTTTTAATTTATATTCTCCAGAGTCTCATAGTCTCATATGCTAATTAACCCTGTCTTACCAGTGATGCTCTTGTGCCTCTGTGACCACCTCCCTTCCTCTGACTCATCTTTCAAGGCT